ATATTTTCGGTGTACTGGCTGTCAACTCTTACCTTGGCAGTTTGATTCCAATATAAATTAGATATAATTTTCAGATCACGACTGTTATTTATTGGTAAATGATAAAAACTACACGTCCGGTTTACACAGAGTGTTTCAAAAAAAGGTAATTCCGTCTCTAGGGTAGGTAAAAACTGAAAAATAATTGGGGTTTGCTTAATAAAAAAATTTTATAACGCCATCCGTTTTCAAGATACAGGGCGTTGAAAAAAAAAGTTTACGCATTTTTTACGATTGTGCCGAAACTACTGGCAACATTGTAATGAAATTTTATACGAATATGTTTTGGAAGCTGATACATTATATGAATTTGTTTTTATATCTGATTCTCATAGAGGGCGCTAGTTACACGGATCGTACAAAATATTAGTCAATATAACATGTTTACGAGTATAATTATTAAAAGAGACAGAGTAGAATGACGCAAAAAGCTTGAGGTAGTCGAGGTCTTTTAAGAGCTATAACACCATGATGATTATGATGGGTGCGTGCATAATCTAGTAAAGTCTAAGTTAGGTGTTTACGATATTTTGATGTTAATAGCTTTTGGGTTTTGTTTTTTCTTCGTCGATGCTCTGTTCTTGTCTTTCTTTATTTTTTCCTTCTCACAGGGGGTATAAGGTATCATTCAAGCTTCGAAGCTTCAACTTTGGCCCATTTTAGTTGACTAATAATTTTGCATACTTATTGGTATTCGTGGAATTCAAACTTTGGGAGAAATATCTCCCATTAAAATTCTAAGGTGGAAAGTAATTATTTCTCTTATATTATATTGGGTAATTTGTTAAAAAAAATGAAAATTGACTGCAAAATAACTTCAGTACTTCGCTTATAAATTATCAGCGTTATTAGTAATGTTTACGCCATTACATTGACACTCAAAAGCATTTTAATCTTCATAACAACAACGAACGTTTAGATTCGGTAAAAGAATAAAAAAATTAGTGTTAAATCTATCGGTCGTTTGGTAATTACAATAATTTTAACTTCCCATTTAGTGATGGGGTATAAAAAAATGTGTAACGATGCATTAAAATCGACAATCCCTACAGATATATTTTTAATAGTACTTTTGTTCAAACTTCTTTAGTAAATTGGAGCTTGCCTCAAGAATACTTCCAAATACAGATATTCTGATACTTTTTACCAGTGAATTGATAAGTCAATGGCCAAATTCAAAGCCCGGCCAGTATTCTAGTAGTACCACCTCCTAAAACATATAAAAAGGCGTAATAAAATCTGACAATGCTGTGACGGTTACGTTTCGAAAACGACTACATTTGGATGTGAGAGGTGGATTGGATTTTTGAAGAAAAAGTTGGGTAGTAACTTCAGAAATAATATATTCTCTAACTTATCCTTTCTCTCAAATAGGTCAAGAATATTATTACAAAAATAAAATTATTTAAAAATTACCAAAATCAATTTTTTTGTATGTACTTTCTTATAATTTATTAGTACATTTTGTTAAGTTATTTCATGTTGTGTACTTTTAAGTGTATGGGTCTGTAGGTAGGATTAAATATGAGTATTTCCAACAGTGTTGTTATTGAAAACGTGGATAAAGAAGTTTAAAGAGAAAATTACTAATTTAAATAAAGATCAGCATTTATTTCATAAAAGAAATAAACAGATATATCAGCAGTGTATTAACAGTGAGGTATAATCAACTCTAAAAACAGCTCTAAAAAAACGTCTTTAGAGTATTGTCGTCTCAAACGCTACGGCGTGATGTGTTTTAGAAAAAAGAGAAAAGAATTAATAAGGCTTATATCAAATACAAAAAATATACAGTACCTACTAAATTACAGATAATGAGTTATTTCATGTGATTGAACGTGGTGCTAGAAATATTACAATTAAAGCCTTGAATAAAAAGTATAAAAATGTCCCAAACGTGTAACAAATCTGGTCAAACCCCGATTGCATAAAGTTAATTTTCGACGTTTGCCAGACCAAATTAGTCTCTCTTAGGTTAACTAAAATTCTTTATGTTCTCTCTATTATCTGAACATCTTTGTTGACAGCTTAATTTTTTGTTTATTTTATATGTTTACATGTATGTATTTATATGTATTATTTAATATTTTATATTTTATACTTTTTTCTTTGTTGTTATTTTATTGGGGAGGGGACCAGGAGATAATTCACTACATATGATTAGAAATCAGATGATAGACGATATTCTGGTAAACAAGAGATTTAAGAATGGCGTCACCAGAGTAACGACATATCCTGGTGCAGATATCCGTTCAGACCATAACCCTGTAATAACTGACATCAAAGTGAAGCTCAAAAAAGTCCAAGAAAGCCCCAAAACACCAAAATTAAATATCTCAATATCCAACAAAACGTTAATAGAAAATGACTTAAACAATGAGCTAAAGAAATCAATAAATGAAAACAACACAGGAATATGGAACACAATTAAAGATCTTACCTTGAAAGTAATAGAAAAATATTCAACAACGTTACACAGGTACAAAAAACAACAATGGATGACTGATGAAATCCTGGAATTAATGGAGCAGAGAAGAAAACTGAAAGGTAACAAGACAGAATATAAGGAAAACAGAAACTAATTTAAACAAAAAATAAAGGTGGCTAAAGAAAAATGGATGGAGGATAATTGCAAGGAATTGGAAAAGTTGAATGAAAAACATGATACGTTTAATATGTTTAAAAAAGTTAGAGAAGTAGCTGGTCTTTATCATAAGAAAACTCCACATACTATAACGGATTCGTCGGGAAAAATGATAATAGACGAACATGAAATTCGAACAACCTGGTGTAATTATATAAGTGGACTGTATAATGATGATAGACCCAAAGAACCGGAGACTTTAGTTGAAGGTGAAGGACCAGAAATACTAAAATCAGAAATACTGCATGCTATAAAGTTAGCAAAGAACAAGAAAGCCGTTGGCCCTGATAACATACCGAAGAGATGTTAAAGCTTATAAATGAGGAGAACATTGGAATACTGGTCAAACTTTTCAATGATGCTTACTTGACTGGTGATATCCCTGAAGATTGGTTAAAGTCCGAATTCATAACACTACCAAAAAAAACAACGTCCGAAAAACTGTAGCAATTATAGAATGATAAGCCTTATGAGCCACACTTTAAAAATATTTCTACGCGTCATCCACAGCAGAATCAGAGATAAATGTGAAGAAGATCAATATGAAACACAATTTGGCTGCAGAAATGTATTGGGAACTCGGGAACGCCCTCTTTGCACTAAATGTATTACTGCAGAAATGTCGAGATCAAAGAAATACGTTCTTTGCTGTATTTATTGACTACGAAAAGGCCTTTGATCGAGTACAGCATCACAAATTAATTACAATATTAAAAGATAAAGAAGTTAATAGTCAAGACATACGATTCATAGAAAAGTTATACTGGCGTCAAACAGCGACAGCTTTCATAAACCAAAAATGAACAGAAATATGTAAAATACAAAGAGGTGTCAGACAGGGTTGTATACTATCCCCACTGTTATTTAATTTATATTCAGATAGAATATTTAAAGAAGTGCTGCATATTTTGGAATGGGGCGTGAAAGTTAATGGAATTCTGATAAATACAATCAGATATGCAGACGATACAGTTATTTTAAGTGATGAAATGAATGAATTACAATGCCTTTTAAATGCCATTGATACAGTGGGAAGAGAGTATGGTCTAAACATAAACTGTGCAAAAACAAAACACATGGTGTTCAGTCGTTTAGCACATCAAGATGCACGATTGTATGTTGATGGTGATATAATTCAAAGAGTGTCCAGTTTTAAATATCTTGGTTTCAATATTACTGAACAACTAGATCCAGATCAAGAATAAAATGTAGAATCGAGATAGCCCGCACGACATTTTTAAAAATGAGGTCATTCTTCTGTAATGATGCACTTGAAACTTGCAACTTCAACTTCGAAAGCGCATGGTTAAATGCCACATTTGGTCAGTCCTCTTATACGGTGTCGAAGCATGGACAATAAAAATATCCACCATTAATCGTCCGGAGGCCTTTAAAATGTGGCTGCACAGACGTATACTAAAAATTCCATGGGCGGCTATGCTGACAAATGTGGCAGTCCTTGAGCGAGCAAATGCTGCTCGCGAGCTGCTTGATAACATCAAATGTAGAAAGATGGCCTATTTTGGACACGTAGTAAGGGGAGACCGATATAATATTCTACAACTTATTATGATGGGTAAAATCGAAGGACGCAGAGGAATTGGTAGAAAGCAGGCCTCTTGTTGAAGAATATCAGGGAGTGGACAGGAATAAAGAAAGCTGAGCAACTATTTAGAATAGCTCGAGACAGAGACAGTTTCACCATGTTAATCGCCAACGTCAAGGAGACTTGATAGGGCACGTTAAGAGAAAGTTATTTTATTAGTTTCATTTAGTCTTCCCTATTTTTTTTTTTAGGTTGTACTTTATCTCCCTAAATTTTATTAATTTTCGGAAAAACCAATAATTCAATTTTTTTTGTTGATAACCGTTTTTTTGCTTCCGGATAAATAAGTTTTAAATATTTGTTTTAAATGATCTTTAATTTCTTTTAATTAAGTTTATTCTTTTGTATTCTACAATAGTTTTAAACATTTTATTGTCAGTTTTAAATTCTGTCCCATTATTATTTTTCTAACTTCTACTAGGAGTAAATTTTTAAAAATAAGATCCCTCAAAATTAAATAAACCATAACAAGAAATATTCTATCTTTTGCGTAGAGTAATTTGTACAAATACTTAAAAGGTTCATTGCCAATAAGATGATCTGCTTGTTATTGTAAGCACCACGCCCAAACAAAATAATTCAACCTGAGCTCTTCAAGGATTCTTCCTGTTCTTTAAGTATGCGGTATTTGTACCGGTCGTGGCCAAAACTTGATTACAAATTTTATATAAAAAGCGAATTTAAACTTATTTCAACACAGATACAGTTTTTCGTCTGATCGAAATAGGTATTTACGTAAACAAAATGAAGGTAAGCATTGCTTTCTACCCAATTCGTTAATTTTTACATTTTGGAATTTTATTCATGGTGGTTTAACATTTTAACTTTAGATTAATTTTTCCAATTTTGTTTTTGAATTATAGTTTACATCTAATTATGTAGACATTGGCATTATATTTTTATTATCCATTTTTATTTAAGAGTTTCAATTTATTTAGTTGTTTCAAGTGTCTGCTTATATTACATAGTTGTATACTCTGGTTATACGAATATTCTTTGATGTCTATTTATTGTTTGCTTGTTTATCTTCCTATCTCATTATTGAATATTTTAAATTTGTATCTAATTTCTTTCTTGTTCTACTTACTGTTCTAGATAGATTATTTGTTTTTCTACTCTTAATCCAACTGTTTGTAAAAGAGTCTTTTGATAAATGTCTCCCAGTACTCTATCTTTTCTTTTCTTAAAAATTTTATGTTTCGTTTCTTAATATGTAGTTTTAATACCTTGTATTCGTCTTATGAAAGGTGGTTCTTAATTATCTATATTTGAAAAGTTGCTATCTTCTCTTAACATTTTTTTATTTACATTTTTTATGAACAAAGGCGTTTTTGATGCTAGCTTTATTTGCCTGTTTACTGTTTTAATTCTTGTTGGATGGCGCTCTGCTTATTGTACGTTTCGTTTATTATTTATTAAGACTAATAAATTGTTACTAGTAGTCGGTATGAAACAATTTCAATTATTTTATTCTGCAATATTCACTGCCTTCACTCGCTCAACCGTTTCCATCTCTCTCTGTTGTCCCATTCACCATCGTTTATGCCGTTCTTACTCCTGACGTCGCGTCGTCTACTTTATTCCTTCATGATCTTCGGAGACGGTTATTATCTTCATCCATCTGATATGGCTAGTTCTTCTTTAATGTCCAAACCACATTAGTCTCTGTTGTTCTATATATATATATATATATATATATATATATAATATATATATATATTATATATATATATATATATAGGTATATATATATATAAGAAATACTGGATATTATTGACTGTCGATATAAACAAACAACACAGTTTATTAGGGATTGCAGTCAGAATTATTGGCCGGGATGTTAAAAAAACTCTTTTGACTTTTTGTCGAGCTTTCGGAATATTTTTATTCCTTTTTCAAGACACTGTAAAAGGACAATTATGTAAGTATTTAAAAATAATATCACCATTCTTCAGTGTAACTTACTAGCCGTTGAGATTATTTTATAAGCATTGAACACTCAACATTAATACCACACATTAAAATATACAATTATGGACATAATACATCATAAAATTTTTAAAAATTTGTTGTTAAAAATAGTAGAACTTGATTGATGGCATGTTTTACTGGTGTATATTAACTCATACAGAGAATGGAAAGAAAAAACAGTGTAATTAATATGTAATTAGGTGTAAATTGATGTTATCTTTCTTTACAAGCATTACTAGAGGCCTTTCTTAGGTGTATATAATTTTTAACCTGTCTTAATGGTATGCAACATATTATACAGAGGTGTAATGTTTTGTACAGGTAAATATTTATTTTATTTTTATTTTTGGTGTTTTTCTAGTAAATAACAATAAATGTTACTTAATTTGTCTATATCGGACTTTTTATTGATACAAAGATGTGCTAGATTTTATGAAACACATTTCCAAAAAAACACGTTTTAAATGGTTCTTTTCTTTTGCCAAAATACAGGAATCATCGAACTTGAACTCATGTTTTAGACTTAGTGCATGTTCTGTCAATGCACATGCATTGATTTTTTGGTTTTTATGTCACTGCGATGTGATATCACCCTGCTGTGAAAATTACGAGATGATTCTCCTATGTAAATTTTATTGCAGTTACTACACGGTATAGAATAAACAACATTCGATGACTCCTGTATTGTGAAAGGATCTTTTGTCCTTGTGTAAAGCTTCGATACTGTTTTCACATTTTTGGTTGTAATTTTTAAGCCACTAACATTTTTAAAGATGTTCATTAGCTTAGGTGTCAAAAATGGAATATAGGGTAGGCAACCATAAGTTATTTTAGATGGTAATATTGCTGCGTTATGTGTCAATGTCAATTGTCGGATCTCATTGTTATGAAAATTTTGGTTGACAGAAACTTGTGAAGGAAAAGGAGAACCGAAAATGAGTTTGTTTAACGCCCTATGGGATAAGAATTCTCTTGTAGTATGGATCTCAACTTTTTTAGTCCCTTGTCTCTGAATTCTGTGTGTGACAAATTGATAACCCTAGTTTTTAAAGCCAACACCAAATTTGTTTTCATCTTAGATGGATGTTGAGAATAAAAGTTTATGAAACGGTTACTGAAAACGCAGTGACATAAAAACCAAAAAAATCAATGCATGTGCATTGACAGAACATGCACTAAGTCTAAAACATGAGTTCAAGTTCGATGATTCCTGTATTTTGGCAAAAGAAAAGAACCATTTAAAACGTGTTTTTTTGGAAATGTGTTTCATAAAATCTAGCACATCTTGTATCAATAAAAAGTCCGATATAGACAAATTAAGTAACATTTATTGTTATTTACTAGAAAAACACCAAAAATAAAAATAAAATAAATATTTACCTGTACAAAACATTACACCTCTGTATAATATGTTGCATACCATTAAGACAGGTTAAAAATTATATACACCTAAGAAAGGCCTCTAGTAATGCTTGTAAAGAAAGATAACATCAATTTACACCTAATTACATATTAATTACACTGTTTTTTCTTTCCATTCTCTGTATGAGTTAATATACACCAGTAAAACATGCCATCAATCAAGTTCTACTATTTTTAACAACAAATTTTTAAAAATTTTATGATGTATTATGTCCATAATTGTATATTTTAATGTGTGGTATTAATGTTGAGTGTTCAATGCTTATAAAATAATCTCAACGGCTAGTAAGTTACACTGAAGAATGGTGATATTATTTTTAAATACTTACATAATTGTCCTTTACAGTGTCTTGAAAAAGGAATAAAAATATTCCGAAAGCTCGACAAAAAGTCAAAAGAGTTTTTTTAACATCCCGGCCAATAATTCTGACTGCATCCCTAATAAACTGTGTTGTTTGTATATATATATTATATATATATATTTATATATATATATATATATATTAAATATATATATATATATATATATATATATATACAGGGTGGTCCTTAAGTAATTGTACAAAAAGAAACCGCAGATTCTACACTTTAAAATATTACGATTAAAGTCAACTTGCTTTAATAAAATGGTTGATATTAAAAAAGATACAAGGTGTTAAAGTGGAAATTTAAAATTTTATTTTTCGTTATAACTTTCATGTTTGTAAACGTTTACGTATAAAAATTTACAATTGGATACTATTCAATATCAGGAATTATAATTTAATGCATACTTTGATATAGCCAATAAAGGGCGCCACATGTGCCACATACGTTGCATACATTTGTACTTAACTTTTTTGATCGTCAAGTTACCGGTATTTTTGATAAAAAATATTAAAGATGTATTATTTTAACAAAGAAAAGATATACTGTTAATACCTTTAAAACTCAACAGTTTTCGAGATAATCGCATTTTACAAATCAACTGCATAATTCTGATTTGACGCAGTTACTCCAAGCAATGAAAGAAAAATAGATAAAAACATCAATACTTCTGAATTTTGTTATAAAATACCTCTAATAAAGTTAATAGTTAACGAATTATTAAATAAAATAAATATATCAGCAGGATAAATAATTAATATGATAAAATACAGAATAATTGAATTTTTCACCAAACATTTTACGTTTTGTATTAAATTAAAGTCATAATAAAACATTTTATTTACAAAACAAATTAAGAAATAGTTAGACTAAATAATATTAAACGTTTTGTCAAAGTAAGTGTTTCGATATGTTCACCATTTTCTTTAATTTATTTATCAATACATTCCATAAAATATCGTCTCATATTAAATAGCATCATTGGTTCTAAAAAACTGCTGCAGTACTTATTATAAGCATAATAATAGGTATTTTTTTGTAATTTTTATGAATTAAATAATTATATTAATATCTTACCACATAATCAAGGAATAAGGCTATCATGAACAATCCAACGTTTAGGAAAGTTGTTTTAAATACTCTTCTCAGCCCCCCTTTTCTGTAATGTATTGGTGTACCATCTTGTATAAAACAATTATTTAGCCTTAAGTATGATGACAGTTTTTCCAATAAATCAATAAAATCTTTTTATAAAAAATGTAAATAAATCTGACCACTTAATTTGCGAGGTAATTAGCATATCCGTAAAATATCATTCAAAATTAATATTTAAAATGGATGTCCTAGGGTTTGGAACCATTTGTAATTATTTTTTACGAATATGCGAATTATCTTGCAATATGAATGTCGAGATTTATTTACATTTTTTGTAAAATGATTTTATTGATTTATTCAAAGAATTGTCATCAAACTTAAGACGAAATATGTGGTTTCTACACCACACCAGATGGTACACCATTACGTTACAGAGAAAGCGGAGTGAGACAGTGTTTAAATACAACTTTCCTGAACGTTGGATTGTTCGTGGTAGTCATATTCGTGTGGTGAGATATTAATATAATTATTTAATTCATACAAATTTCAAAAAATTACTTATCATTATACTTATAACGCTTATAATAAATACCGCAGCAGTTTCTTTAGAACCAATGATGCTATTTAATAGGAGACGATATTTTATGGAATGTATTGACAAAGGAATTAAAGAAAATAGTGGACATACTGAACACTTACATTGACAAAAAGTTTAACTTTATTTAGTTTAACTATGTCTTAATTTGGTTTGTAAATAAAATATTTTGATTATGACTTTAATTTAACACAAAACGTAAAATGTTTGATGTAAAATCTAATTATTCTGTTATTTATCAAATCATATTATTTATCCTGCTGATATATTTATTTTAATTAATAATTCGTTAACTATTAACTTTATTAAATGTATTTTATACCAAAATTCAGAAGTATTGATGTTTTTCTTTAATTTTCTTTCATTGCCTGGAATAATTGAGATAAATCTGAATTATGTAGTTGATTTCTAAAATGCGATTATCTCGAAAGCTTTTGAGTTTTGAAGATATTAACAAGTATACCTTTTTTTGTTAAAATAATGTATCTTTAATATTTTTTATTAAAAATACCCATAACTTAAAGAGCAAAAAAGTTAAGTGCAAATATATGCCACAGATGTGGCATATGTGGCGCCCTCTATCAGATACATCAAAGTATACATCAAATTTAAATTTCTGATATTTAATAGTACTCCAGTTGCAAATTTTTATACATAAATGTTGACAAACATGAAAGTTATAGCGAAAAATAAAATTTAAAATTTCCACTTTAACACCCTGTATCTTTCTTAATATTAACATTTTATTAAAGCAACTTGACTTAAATCGTAATATTTGAAAGTGTAGAATCTACGGTTTCTTTTTGTACAAGGGCACACCCTGTATTTATATATATAATATATATATATATATATATATATATATATTATATATATTATATAATATATATATATATATAATATATATAATCTAAAGATATATATATATGTTAGTTCGACTGTGTCTATTGATGATTTTTTGCTTTATTTCGTCATTACTTCTCCTACCCATTATTGTTACTCTGCAGAATCTTTGCAGGCATTCCATCTCTGTGTTACTATCTTACTGCTGTTTTTCTTATTTATAATCCAATTCTAAGCCCCATATGTCATAATACTTTGCACTAATGTTTTATAAATCTGTGTTTTTGTCATCATATTTAGGTGTCTGTTGTGTCCTAATCTTGTTTGTCCTAATCTTTGTGTAATTTCTTCCTTTGTGGTCGCCTTTTTCGTGATTATAAACCCCAAGTACTTGAATTTATCTTTTTCTTTGATTATTACGTTGTCATCAATCTGTAGATCTTCTATGTCGTCTTTACTTGTAGATAGGTACTCTGTTTTCACGAGGTTAATATCTAGGCCAGCCTTGGTATACTCTTCTTGTAGTTTCTTTAGCATGTAATTGAGGTCTTCTTCTTCTTGTGCAATCACTACTTGATTGTCTGCAAAGCGTAACGTATATAGGTATTCGTTTCATACCGGTACTCCCCTGCCTTTGCATATTCTTTTCCATGAAGTCAAGACTTTCTCTAAGTATATTTTGAATAGTGATGGAGATGTGAAACAACCCTGCAGGAGCCCTTTTTTATGGTGAAGTCTCATATAACTCTTGTTCCCATTTTAATGGACACTTTATTATTTTCTTTACACGGAGCTTTTGTAGCTTTTATGAGTTCCGTCTGTATTTCTAATTTCGTACATTGCCTCCCATAATTCTGCCCTTGGCATATAATCATACACCTTTTTTATTCCACAAATGCCAAATGTATATCTCTATTTTTTGCTTTTCTCCTTTCCAACAGTTTTTTCCAGTGTGTATATGTGGTCTAAGCATGATCCCCCTGTTGTGAAGCCTGCCTGACCCTCCCCGGTTTTTCCTTTCCTATTGATTATATTACGCTTATTTATCTATAGTTTTCGCATCGTTTTCTATCTCCTTTCTTAAATATAGATGTCATATATTTCTCCCTTCATTCCGTTGAGAGATATTCTCTGATAAAATATCCATTTTATCATACGGTGTAATTTTTTTAAGTCTTACTTTATAAGCTCAGGTGAGATGCCTCCAGGTTTCGGTGCTTTCGTATTTTTGATTGCTTTTATGACCCTTCTCATTTCCCTATCTTTTATTTTTATTTTTTGTTGTTCTATTAAATTATTTTAACTTATAGCTAATCGCAAAAATAATAAAATATTAGTATATATATATATATATAATATATATATATTATATATATATATTCGGTTTTATAACGTCTTACGACGTTGTCCGACTCCCAAACGCCACTGATTCTGTCTTGAGTTAGGTCTATCGTCCAGATTTCGAGCGCTAATCGCTTTCCTAACTCCCAGGTTCCAGCGCTGTGGTGTCTTCCTCGTTTCCTCTTCTCTGGGAGTTGCCACATCATCGTTTTTCTAAGCAATCTTTCGTCTCCCATTCGGCTCGCATGCCCATATCATATGAGCTGTTTTCTCTCAATATCCTCAACTATAGTGCCCTCTATACCCATAAAATATTAGTATATAAAATATTAAAGAATACCAATAAACCCATAAAATATTAGTATATAATGTATATTCAGGATATATTTTACTTTGAAATAATTTGGGATAGATCAAAATGTAGTAGAGTAATTAAATATATAGCGGTTTATTTTCGTACATTTTTATTCTTTGAGTTTGATGGCATATGCTACTTGATTTTTTAATTTTTAACATAGAGGTAAATAGCTCATACGTTTATGACCGTTCTTTCACCCGATTGAGAGTCGATAGTATTTCATATAAAGGGCCATTGTACTGTATACTACGCAACTTTGCACAAGTTCGTTGATTAAGTTTAAGACACTATTACCGTCTATTTTGGACACATGAAAAATCTGTGTCTTCTTTTTTATGAACACATGACTCTATCTGTTTTTCAATGTACCTCTAGTAAGTTGTTGTTTCATCATCTTCGTCGTCTTCCTACTTGCGTCTTCATATTGAGGAAACGTCAATTGTAATCTTTACTAATCTTTTTGTTCTCATTTCCCATTTTACTCTTTTATTGCTTATCCCGTCCTTGATGTTCTCCACCTTGCATCTACGTCGTAGATCTGTACTTCTAGCTCTGTTTATATTGTTTCACCACCAATTTTTCTAAGTGTTTTCATCTCTGCTGTTTCTAACTTCCTTCTCCTTTTCTCCTTGTCAGGTCGTGTTTCTGTAGCGTATGTCATTATTGGTCTGATGACTGTTTTGTAAATTCTGCCTTTAATTTCTTTCTCGATATTTTATTTCTTTATCTTGATTAATTAAGGCAATTTGCAGCTCTGTTTGCTCTATTCACTTAAACTGTATCACTTGGTCTATTTTCTAACTTTGTTAAATAAAATTTTAAGTTGATATCTTTTGCTTTTAGTTTTTTATGCCCAATCGTTCTTTACTTTCAGGAAGACCTTAGTATCTTGATTACTTAGGCAACTCGTTATCCTTGTTGTTTAACTTTTTAATATTCCAAAGTGCTGCTCTAATAAAATTTATTTTAATTTTATGCTTTTTCTTACCTGTTTCGTCAAATTATCATTCATTGTGTCTAACAATAATTCGTCGGTTCCCAGAGCAGACCTTTTTAGTTTAGCATGGAAACTTACTATGAAAACCTTTTTTCGTTATCATAACTTGGCAAAGGCAGTTATGTCGGAAGGGATTACTGAGCTATTTAATTCACCCATTTGTTCCCTTTAGTAATTAAAATAAAAAGCTAAAAAGGGATTTTAGTGTTTAAAAGATATTTGGTTTTAGGCTGTCATTGTTGCCCTATTCACCATCTTAGCCATGGCTTCAGCAGGTATAGTACTTTCTCCAAGCCTCGGCTATTCTTACCAACCGTTAGCATATTCAGCACCATTAGTTGTACCATCTGCATATTCATATGTGGCTGCACCCGTAAGTTATGCTGCTGCACCAGCGATCCAGTCAGGGTAAGTTACACCTTCTACTTGTTAATATACTTTTCTAACGTATTTTCCTACACATGTATGAAAGAGATTATATTTTGTGTATTACTACTAACACTTCGAATACATGTACCGAGAATTATCAGAATTTATAAAATCTAAACGGGGAAAATGCTGACATTTGTAGTTAAGAGCTTAAGAAAAAACTTTAGCAAATATTTTAAACGAAACAACTTATAAAAAGAGCTGAACTAAGATTCAAAAACCGGGCACGGGAACGTCGTTGAATAGACAAAATATTTCTTACCAGTTGGAAGTTTCATAAACGATGTTTCTTACCTGAAACAAAATATAAATTATTAAAATTATTATAAAAATTTACATACAACGAAGTTCATTAGGAAGGCGATTTGACTAATTTACCAATTACCATATAAATAAACAGTGTCGATATATAGACCTATTAAAAATTGCTCACCAAAGTTTTGTTTAAAGTATTAGTTATTTTTCATAGTTCTTCCTTTTTCTTCTTATTGCGCTATCCATTATGGCAATTGTAGCTTTGGAAACTGCTGCACGAAAAATTTCTGTGGATGAGCGGTCAAACCATCTTTTCAGGTCTTTCAGCGACGAGTTCTGGCGTCTTCTAACTGATCTTTTGCCCTGTACTTTATCTTCCAACTTGATTAGGAGTAATTCATGTCTTCCATCTCTCAACACCCAAGTATTGTATTTTTTTCTCTTTGGTTATGCTGAGAAATTCTTTTTGTTTACTTATGCGGCGAAGTACCTTACCATTAGTAACTTTTTGTATAAATGAAATTCTCAGCATCTGTCTGTATATATAAACATTTCAAAGGCATCCATTTTTTTTTATTTCAGTTTCGTTGTCCAACTTTCTCAGCCATACAACAAAACAGAGAAAACCTAACATCTGACCATTCGAATTCTCAGCTCTAGACTAAGGTCTGATCTTGTAAAAATTGTTTTCATGTTTATGAGTGTTTTCCCCTGCTTGTTCGCTTCTTGACAATTTTTTTTGTTACAGTGGCTGTAAATATTTGCTCCTAAATATTTTATGGAAGTTACCTGTTCTATTATTTGTCCCTTATCGTACAAATATACGTTTATTGGTATCCTTGAAAATACTAAAATTTTAGTTTCGGAAACATTTAGATGTAAACCGAACATTTTGCTATGACGAACTACCGCATTTATTATATTTTGTAGTTCTGGTGCGTTGCTTGCTATTGGAACGGTATCATCAGCGTAACTGATGTTGTCTAAGCTGGTTCCGTTAATCTTGATTCCACGTTGAACCACATCTAATGTTTCTCTGAATATAGATTCCAAATAGAGATTAAGTAATAGTGGTGATAAGATGCAACCTTGTCGCACTTCTCGTCGAATTCGTATATCTTCGGATGTTCTGTTCTATATTTCAATTGTTGCCGTTTAGTGCCGTACGGTTCTGAGATAATTTACAAGTTTTGTTCGTTAGTTCTAGTTGTTCTTAGAACTTTGATCATCTTTTGATGGTTAACGCAGTCAAATGCTTTTCGATAATTAATAAAACATGCATATACATCTACATTCATGTCTTTGCATCGTAGTATTAACATATTTAAGGCAAACAGAGATTCTCGTGTTTACAATTCATTTCGAAATCCGAATTGAGTGTCACTTATATGAAACTCACACTTCTTGTAAATTCGTGTATGAATGATTCTGAGAAACATTAATTATAACTTTGTGTTTTGAAAATGAGTTTTTAAAAATTATTTTATTTTGAAAATACAAATTTACAAAGTATCTTAACAAACAAAAGTTTACAGGCAAAACTTAGCAGACAAAAGTTAAAAGCAAAAGTTAAAGCCAAAGTTATAATTATTGAAATGTCCCTCTATTTATGATATAGTATTGCATATTTCCTACAATGTGCAGATTCTGTATAATCCAGTGGCGTAATTGCCCCCTCACTGAGTCCGAAAAATAATGGAATTATTTTTGGGATGCTGGTTTGTGGAATCTACTTCAATGCCGGAAACTTCATGTAATTCTATTTTATACTCGTTCCGTTGTTTTGACCTTCTTTGTTTTAATAATAAACATAATGATCAAGATTGGAATAACTGCTATGTCTGAGGTGGTCACCAATGGAGTCGTATGCAAAGGAATATTTGTTTCTCTAATTGGTACTAATGGTTTGGCCATATTATTAATTGCAAAAGATTTTCAAAGTCAATTTTGGTAATATTATGGCTCTGGAATCTTTGTATGTTTTTTGTAGAAAAATATTTTATTTTTGGTGAAATTAGGGCTTTCCCTCTATGAATTTTGATTTTGTTATTGAATTTTAGTTGGTTGATTATCACTTCACAATTTTCTTGTATACTGATGAGAGATGGACTCTGTACTTCGAAAATTTGGTCTCTCTTGCACTTTGATTGAACTCGTTCTGATGTCGATGGTATTATCAATACTTCACTATTAGTTACTTGTTCCATAATGGATTCTTGAAGAGTGACTTATGTGGTAAAACATTGGGTTGAACTTTGACCATTGAGGAAACGCAAGGTACAATTGTCTTGTAGTATGGTCTTCTTTGCTAGTAATAGCAATAATATGCTTCTTCTAAAATGGGACATTCTTCTTTTTGTAGGTGTGTCTCATCAGAGGTTCGTGCCAAATAAGGGTATGTGGGAGTGAACATCTTGTTCTTTTGAATTATTGGGTAAATATGATAACAATCAAGGGCATTTGGTTTTAGGATAGGAGTGTGAGTAGCAAAGATCAATTTTAAATTTGAAAAAGTTACTTGTGTTCCTAATAGCATGTAATACGTTAAAATATTTATAAATTTGGGAATTTAAGAAGGTTAAGTTAATCCTGATCGAAGATGTTAAAGAATGTGTCACATTGCATGAAATGTGACTAACATTCATATAATTAATGACTATTGTAGTGCAATAAGAACAATCGTTAAAATTTAAGTAGGTATATACACAATTACAACTTAACACTAAACATGTTTTACTATGATTACTAGATTTTTACGACCATTTAATTGTTAAACAGGTTTACTTTTTAATGTTTAATATATATTATTATTTTATTAAAACTTCTTCTTCTCATGGCGCCGTCTCCTTTCGAAGGTTGGCGATCCAAATGACAATCCAAATGTCCTATTAGAACTAGATTGAAAAAATTATTACTCCATATATGTTAGTTACTATTTGAAAGAAGCATTTCTTTTTACTTTGCTTGGAGATGCCATTTTTTACCACTTGGTATTCTCCAGCTATTTTTTTAAAAGCAGCTTTGTCTTTCACATATATGGACTGATGCTGTTTTGTGAACACGAAATGAAAAGTTTCCGCATAATATGGAATAGTTAATATCACAGCTTTTTTTACTGCTTACTTCTAACTGAATATCTTCTAGAGAGAGTTACAGTGTGAAAGGAATTTCAGCCCATTCGATTGTTTTTCACTGCTTTTTAGGTACCATGAATGGTCCTATAAATGACGCAAAAAGGTACCATTTGTTTATCTAAATCGGTTGTTATATGCCTTGCTCCTATCGCAAAACATCTATCTACAAGAACTAAGTTAGTAAGAGCATCAGAACTTATACCAGCTCAAAACGTAACTGAGCCTTCTTGATAAGTTATTCTGTCAGCAATATTGTATTGAGAAAATTCTTTTCCTTGTCTTCTCCACATTCTTTTGCAGCCGTTTGATGGCCTCAAGCAAAATCTGAGTTCATCTGAAAAAGAAAGATCACTCCAGTCTGCGTAATCCCAAATTATCGGGTTCCCTGACAAAAGCAAGTCAAGTTCTGCAGTTTCTAAGGATATTTGTGCAAACGGTTATGATTTTCTAGATATTAGATTCGCTTTATGAAGTCTTCGATGAACTAATCACCTACTTACTTTCACATTTTGGACTTCGTTAGGGCGAAACATGAAATAAACAAAAAATTGATCATCGAGTGTGGATGTTGCTCTCCTACTAACTGAACCTGCCATTCTGGTATATTGTCATTTGATGAGCTCTAAATGGTCTTAAACACAACGACTTGCACTAGCACGTTGGGCATATTAGCACGACATATAACTAAAGCCAAGGCTCTTGTACCATTCGGTGGTATGAATTTTGTTTAATTACACTTTAGTTCTGAACTCAAAACGTTTTAAAACCAAATTGGTTTGGTTGTGAAAATAAGTACGATAACAAATTAATTTCTTGCCGCTTGTCGAAATTAACTTTTTGACACAAACATAAATTCCTATTGTCTATGGGAAATAAATGCTCGTTTTATTTTCTTTGTGGACTATTTTCATTGTTAGTATAAAACTAAGGAACTTACAGAAGTGATGTAAAGTTTATGCTTGTTGGAAATCACTTTGGACATCTTCTCTTCTTCTTCTGGTTCCTATCCGTTTCGGATGTTGGAAATCATATTGGCAATCATAACTAACCTTGCTCGCTGCGGCTCGAAACAGCTCCGTTGAGGTTTTCTTAAACCATGTTCTTAAATTCCGCAGCCATGATATTCTCCTTCTACTTCGCTACCTTTGACTTTACCTTGCAATATAGACTGTAGCAGGAAGTAACGGTGCTGATTTCTCATAATGTGTCCCAGATATTGCAATTTTATGCGTTTGATCGTAAACACAATCTCTGGTTCCTTCTTCATTTTTCCTAGAACTTCCTTGTTCGTGATCCTTGCTGTCCATGATACTCTCAGCATTCTTCTATAAAGCCACATCTCAAATGCTTCAAGTTTTTTAATAGTGGTGTCTGTGAGCGTCCATGCCTCCGCCCCGTACAACAACACAGAGAAAACATAGCATCTCAAATGTCTCATTTTTGTATCAAGGGATATGTTGTGACTTTTGAAGATGGCGCTCATTTTGTTAAAGACCGTTCTTGCCTTATCCTATGCGGCACTTTATTTCCTGTAAGTTGTTCCACTGTTCGTTAATAATAGTTCCCAGGTAACAATACTGTTTTACTCGC